CAATCCTCAGATCAAGTGTGGTCTGCCCTCCACATCCTGACAGTCTCCCACTTGTGTGCTCTCTGCTTATCTGAGTGGTCCTGGTTCTCACCCTTGTGTCGCCTTGACACGCATGCAGCGCTGGGATGCAGTGGAACCCAATTTCTTCAGGGAGGCCCTCTGCCGCTTTCCCGAGTTCGGTCCAGGCATCTTCGGCGAAGAATTTTGGAAGCAGCATGGCGACGAGGCTTCATCTTACCAAGCCGTCGGCAGTCTGACCTCGAATCCACTCATTGCAGCGGACATTAGCAGTGGCAAGTATTATCATCTCTATTATTGGCACACGGCCTGATCATGCTTGTGTTGACAAGGTGTATTTCACTCTGGAGATGACCTCATCAAAACAAGTACTTGGGATTGTCTATTTGTCGCATCGAAGGAACTGAGTGTGGCGCCGATCAATAACTACCTGTACAAGATCAACTCATCACTCAAACTCTGGAGTCCTCTGTATGTTCATGTTGCCGATGCCCTGGCTCATCTGACTCATATCTTATGCGTAGGGCAATGGCCAGGTGGAAAGCAGAAGACGAGGAAGATCGTGATGGCTTTCATTTTATGGACTCGATCACTCGAAAGAATTGGGTCGTGGTCGGCATGGGTGAGTTCTCAGGGAACTCGATGGTCGTCCAGACATCAGAGTCCCGTCCTTACAAGCCAGTATACATGTGCGTTTTGTTCATCGTTGTGTCTGCCACTGCACTTCTTCATCCACATCCCTGCTAACTCTCTTGCCTCCAGGGTGTATCCTTCGCGCGGCGCAATCCCGTTAGATGAAGAGACAAACGAGCCCGTAGTTTCCTATCAGATCGCACGCAAAGCAGTCATTCAGACTCTCACACGCTCATCCGAGTGGGTGCGCAAGGGAAAGGTGAAATCCCAGCTGTCTGACCTCGAACGCTTAAAGCGTGATTGCGCTCAAGCTGCTTTTGACATTATGTGGGCTGACCGGTTTGGGTCTTCTTCAAGCATAGTCGCCCCATCGGCTGAGCTCCTCGAGGAGAGAGAGGATAGTGGATCTGATGGCGAGGCCGTGGCGGAGTCTGAAGAGCTTGAGGCAGAAGTGGGTGGCAAGTTTGGGAGTGAAGCAGGAGGGAGTGAGCCACCCATGACAGATGTTAGCGACTACCAGTCTTCTGAGCCCGAGTCCGAGCACGGAGACTCCTCGGTGGAGCCCACAGTCAAGGGTAAAAGGCGCGGTGGGTGGGAACTTGAATCTCAGCTCTACAGTGCGGGAGAGGGCTCTAACAAACGCGTTCAAAAACAACTCGGAATCACCATGAACCAAAAGCGCCATCCCATGGACTCTGTGATGAAGCGATCCTATACTCGGTGCTCGGACCCGGACCGTACCTGAATAGCTTTCTCAGCTCGCAGGGTGATGGGGATCTACTATACGACATAGGGTACATACATACAGTACTGTTCGTACACTTCCTGTAATGTCATCAAGATGACTGTGCATGGGTGTCTTGTTTGGTGAAGATGATGATGGGTGTGACGAATTGGATACTGTTTTGGGCGTACAGTTTTGACCTGCCCCCCAATCTTTTGATTCAGAGCATGTAGATACATGACATAGTAATATATTCCATATCAACTTTGCCGTTGACGTACACCCCTGTACGACTTTGAATAAACATTTGAATAAACATTTGAATAAACATTATCATTCGGTGCAGGACGAGTTGACCATTCATCTAGATACTGAGCAAGGGCCTCCGGGTTTTGTTTTGCTAGTTCCTACATGGCATGTCAGTACACAGGCAATGTATGCCAATATATCATCTTACTACCGAAGGAACCTCATTGTCAGGATCGCCAAAAGGGATCATCCAGGTCCTGTCGGGTTCATTAGGTGGCTAGTAATCTGGATCGAAGTACCGCACGACGAACCAATACAACTTCTTGAATGTCCAAGCTCCATTCTTGATGGTTTGAGCTGTACGAGGACGCTTCGGGGCTGAACCAGAGGGCTTCGAGGCCGAACTGGAGGTGACTGCAGATGACTGAGTTGCCCGAGCTGAGCGGGAAGTCCTAGCTGATAGTCGTTCACTCAAACAAGTGGAAGATGTCCGAGCAGCTGAGCGACATTTCTTTGCTGGTGGCTCCGGATTGCTACAGATAGTGCATACTCAGCATCGTGAGATAACTTCAGATTGAGAGAACTGACCTTTGCTCAGGATCATGGCCGCGACGACGCTTTGCACCCGACTTGCAGACTGGGGCAGATATAGGCTCGGGCTTGGGCTCCGGCTCCGGCCCCGGCCCCAGCTGAGTATGTGAGGTGGTGCCGTTCAGCAGCTCTTCTTGTTGGTGGATGCGGGTGGCTACACCATCGAGCGAAACGGGCATAGCCTCTGATGGCTGTGGTGCAGATGATGGTGCTGGTGCCGGCAAATAAGAGTCAAGCGGTGCTGGGCGTGGTCTACACGATGGCGATCTCGATAGTGGAGATAGAGGTGATTCGGGAATGGGTAATGGCGGTAGCAACGCGCGGAAAGATGCTGGTGGTGACAGTTCAAAGAATGGTGATGGTGGCGTGTCGAAGGATGATGGTGGTGGTGGTGTTACTTCAACCGAATGCGGTGTGACTTCAACTGAACGTGGCGGAGTCGGGGTTGGTGCAGTAGAACGAGCAGCGTGCTGTGTGACATGGCTGTCGGCCGAACTGGGGAAGACATTGTCCATACACGATGCAAATGCCTTGCACATCGGGTGCCTCATTGTGGCGTGTCGCATCACCGGATGGCTCAGATATATCCCTGCACATGTTGTCAGCTGGGAGAGAAGACTAGTCAAGGAACTATCGACATTACCAATTCATCCTCAAAACACCCTGTTCGTCTTTGTACCCCCATGCTGTGAGAATTACCGCCCCACATCCCTCAGTAAGCTCTTTGCGTGCACACTGGAGCGAGTATTTGAGCTTGGTGCCAATCCTTCAAGATGATCATGAGTAAGAGGTAGATGGACCGCAAATTATTAGACGTACGGTGTTGGAATAGATGGGGACCTGGACTTCTCTGCGCGAAGTTGTTGGTGGACCTCCTTGCTCTGATCGCTATAGTAGGATAGTGCTTCTAGGAGGTCCTTGTCCGCGTACAATGCAGTCTTCAACTTCTCGTTAACCTGTCCTTGGGAGTCACCAGCTGCACGGCAGTCTTGTGCGATCTGACGACCCAAAGCCGAGGCACGAAAGATGTCAAGAGCCGAGCGAGCACAAGTGGGTGCCTCATCGGGAGGGGGGGAGATGAATCTTGGAGTCCTTGTGGTTGTGGGAGCTTGAGTTTCGGCACGCGCCTGAGGCGATGACGCGCCGGCGCGGTGCTCGCTTTGACGCGCATTCGCCCAATTCGTATACCAAGAGTTCAATTGCTGGGAGTCTTGTGATCAGAATATGAACAAGGCATCGTGAGATGACTGGGAATGTACCTTGGCCCGTTTTACCCGGCGATTAGACCAGTCCTGCTCTTCCTTGTCCTCGTCGCGCTCAGTAGGGAACTGCGCTCAGAAAGCAGTGGTGAACGCCTTCTTGAACGAAGTCACATCGCCCTTCTTTGCATTAAAGCCAGGATGCCGTTTGTCGATATAGTTGAGCATCCATGCCTCTTCATTGGCAAAAGCCTTAGGATTCACCATAGTCTCGAGTAGCAGGTGGGGAAGCAAATTAATTGAAGTGCTCAGTCTGTACCTACTAACAAGATATATACTTGCAGCCACCAACATGTGAATGAGCGGACTTTGATATGTGTGGTATGGACTATAAACCACTGGTTACAAGACGACAAGCGAGTATGCGTAGAAACCGCACCTGCCTCACTGGGGGCGCAGTCAGCTTCCTGATCTCAGTTCGGAGTTGAAAGATATGGATAATTGGGCGGGGCGTGTGTGGTTATGATACCATTAGCCACATGCTTATTGAGGACATGCTTGCACGTATTCAGGCAGTCTCTCGGAAGGGTCGGCAATCAGAGACTACATGAGCGAGTGCTCAGCAGCTAGAGTAACGAAGCCCACCTTAGCCGTCTTGACGGTTTTAGACAGGCACTGAGGCCATTGAGATGAGTGGTGCTGGTATCTCATCGGGGGATGGTGGTGAAAGATGAGCAACTCAAAAAGTTGATCTTGAGCAGTAGTGTGGGCATTCTGCGGCGCAACGTGGCTCAACTGCTGTGACGCGACGCGACACGATGCCACGCGTGACACTACAACTCCGCCTCCGCGCAGAACTTGTCCTCCACTATCATGGCAACAGCTAGTCCAAAGCACAGGCTGCAGCAACGATCTGAGAACCCTACTACATTAGAACCACACAATCTTGCTATTGTGTTCGTGCCAGGTTCAACCATATTCATTGCCATCACTCGTGTCAGGGCTTGGCTGCGCACCTCGCGTAGATATACCACATTGTTAATTGACACTCCGCACATTGGCGGTGGTTTTGTTCTCTGGCACAGAACCACTACTCGCAGGTATAAGTCCTCGCAGCTCAATGACAGAGTCAACCCGCATCCCTCGTGCACCCATCAACCCGCTTCCCTCGTGCACCCGCACTCAGCGAAGTCTTGTCATGGCCCGTCGACGTCGTCCCACTGATCATGTTCTTTACGAACGTGTACGCCAGCTCTCCAAGCGTGTTCAGGCAGCTTGAATGTCCGCTTGTAGGCAAAGCTGTGTGCATCTTGGTCAGCAGATTGTGTGTCCACCTCGACTACAGTATAAGACACTCGGTCCAAACATCGGGCACTTCTATGTAGTGGTACGTTGATATATTCTGATGACCATCATATTCTGATTGTTGCACAGTGCAAGAGGTCTCTTCCAGGATCTAAGCCTTGCATCAAGTACGTCTCGGATCGCTTGTCTGCCCATGAGAGGCAGGAGATCGGCGACTTCATCATTGCTCGCGAACTACAACTTCGCATCGATACCACTGCACAAGACCTCGTGCGTCCTTGATCTTTGTACTGCTTGTAGCTGCTCATCATGGGACATGACTAGGATCCTGTCCCCGTACAGGCTGTCGCATATCCAAGTGCTTATGAAGACCATCCTCGTCATCTTTCCATCTACTTTTACACCGAGGTGCGTACACAAGATTTTGCGGGTCGATTGATCTGATGGTTCATCTCGTAGGAAACCTCTTCTCCCGAAATGATCTTTGCGCAATGGCCCAATCCCTTTGGTTCATTATCTATGTCAGCTTTTGTCGCAAGCTGGGAGGCTCTGAACGTTCGGCTGTCCGACAAAGTGCGAGTTCTGATGTATCTGGACGAGGATGTCGAGTCCTGGGCTGAGATGCCTCTCAATGCTATCACCATCTCCACTCGCATATCGGCCCTCATTGTTTGTCGGGAAGGCGTCTCACCATCCAATGAAGATCTGAAGGATGTGGTGGACCTTTACCCAGGTCTATTCACTGGTCAAAGTAAGCCCCCTGCACATTCCTGCAACTGCTATACTGACCCCTGCTAACAGTCACCACACAAACTTTCAGAGTAGCCTGACTGTAGTATTGCCCTATCCTGTAATATGTACAATGTGTATAATACAAGCCTGATATCACACATCCGTCCGAACCCGATTCTGCTTGATTCTACCATGAAGCATTCGAACTAGTTGCAGTGAGTGCGAAAGGCTTGTTATCGTCTGAGTACAAACTAGTTGGAGCGGAAGTCGAGAAACAGTGGTCACACTAATTGAATCAGTCCGAACCGGTGGAGAGCAACTAGTTCGTGGATAAACTAGTTTGAAGGTTAGACAGACTAGTTCTCAATTGCAGCACAGCGCCAATTAGTTCAATCGGATTACCTGAACTAGTTCGATGCATATAGTAGACCAAGCATAGGGACTACTGTGTGCAAACCATCACGATCATGAACTAGTTGAGTAAGCAAAAAAATGTCAAAATCGACTATTTATTCCATGACCCGACTAAATAGTCAAGGGCAAACTAGTCCGACCTTTCCCGACGACTCCATTATTTTGAGTGCTCACCATTTTTTTGAGTATTTTTCTCTTATATTCCTTGTGTTACAATACAATCTCCCTGATATTTTGCATTCTCACCCTTGCCTTCAATGGTTCTGTGTTTCTCTTTTTGGTTAGCTCTCTGATCTGATGAATTAAATGTTCAATCAGCCTTTGATTCAGAACTCTACATTATGTCACTAAGTTTACTAGTAGTAGTAGAGATCTTAAGACGGACCTGGTATACTATTACTTACAAATCCATATAATGGTATTGGGATTATAGAACTAGAGATCTCAGCTAATCTTGGAGCAGAATCTGGGGAAAAAAGGACTTAAAGGGAAACGCTATTGGGCCACACTTGCAGACAGTGTATAGCTACGATTAGGAAAGTACACAGCCATATACAGCATATATCGAGATAGCTCAGACTACCACTCCCAGAACACTGGCACTTTTCCTCACCTCTGCTCCGGCTGCTTTGATGTCTACAACAATAACAATAACCCTCTCCATCATGCCTTCTATTTCTATGCTCATTCCTTCTGAATGTGTTGCACCGACTAAGCTCGCTACAGCGCAGGCCTCCAAGCCTGCTCTTAGTGTTTGTACTGGTACTGCACCTGCCCAGTAAATGGGGCAATACTTGGGTATCTGGGCCCATATAGACTAAATAAATTCAGAATCATATAGTAGATATTATACAGCAAATATGTACCAGGTCCTATCAGAATCTGTCTACCAGACTAGTCATTCCAAAGGCCCTGGTGACCTGACTACTTACCATGTTACTATGATTGTTGCAGATTAAGAGCTACACTCTAAAATATGTCACTTTGAGCCCTGTATAGGCCCAAAGCAACCAGATATAGTAAAGGGCCCCAGACTTAACCAAAAAGATGTTAGGAGTAGCAGTTAGAAGCATATAGTGATGGCAGGAGTGTAGATAGATAGCAGAATAACTAGCAAACATGTAGGAAACTATGACAGACTAGTAATGAGATAAAGAAACCATTATAATTGAGTCCAGGAGTTAATGGGGAGGGCGCACAAGCCCAGTAGATCCATATAGGTTCATAATGGGGCCACTATCAGCCACGAGAGGATCTCACAACCAATAATAGTGTCACATTACATGTCACATGTCATATAACACTCAATCCTGGGCCACAACTTTGGTCTCATAGCTATACACTTGTCTGCCTATATATGAAAGCATAATCTGTGCTACCTCAAAGTATAGTGTATAGATTCAATACTATCATAGTAGGTTCAGACAAATGGGAGAACAAAGTCCAAAAATCTGCCACCTGAGAGATTGAAACTTATAAATTGATTTAAAAATTAGAACATGAAACCATTGAGCTATTGAGATATGAGATGTGACCTCGATTAATATTATATAGACTAGTCTCATATAGTTCTATTGCTATATAAACATATGTATCACTATCACTTATAATAGGTATAAATGCTCCGTCTGTGTCATGCTTGCAGTGACCTGTCCTGTGGTAGAGCCTACTCCTCCTCACTCTCCCCACATAGTACCATAATAAATATAGTGCTAGAATCACAGTTTCCTACACTTTTCAATGATATATATTTTATATAGCATATACAAACTTTTTTTAAATCACAAGAAAATAAAAATATACTGTATTTGCCTATTGTAGTACCAATACTATACCAGAAGACAAAGAAAGGAAGTAGAAACTGTACTGTAGCTAATTTTAAATGTCTGTATACCAGATGAGCTAGTGTGGGAGGCAAGGAGAGGTCAGGTATCAGGTAGAGAGGGTAGTGAGGAGGAAAGGGGGGAGTATACAAGGGATAGGATGAGTACCGGCAGAAGCCTGGCAGCCACACAGGCATGTATCCAAGATCCAAAAGCAGGCTTCCACTATGGGGATTAGTACGGACGTCCCAAATGTGGTGGGTGCATTTTTAGCAAGGTGGGGAAAAGGAGATGAGGGTATATGCACCGGTGCTCCAGAACGCGGCCCCGCGGGGCTAAACAGAGTACACTATTGTGTTACCTATACTTGAGAACCCCTGCACAGAGCCCTACAGGCCGGGAGGCCAGGAAGCGCGCAAACAGTGGGGGAAGGGGGGAAAGAAGGGGGAGGAGAACAGTGCGCAAACTGTGGCGCCTGACCAGTTGCAGCTACGGATCTGGTAAGTAGCTCAGTCAATTTGCACAACCCAAAAGCAGGTCCGTGCAAATTGGCGTCATGATTCTACTGTGGAAAAGGGGAGCACCAGCTGGCTACCCTGCTAGCTGGCAATCCCCATCTTCCTCGGCCCATAACTCTCGAACAAACACAACCATAGATACACTGACTACAGTGTTCAATGTGTATTGAAAAATGTATCATTTCGAGTCTCTAACCATACCAAACTATCAAGGTTGATGGAGGGGAATAGGACCAGTAGCGGACTGGGAACGGGATTGATGCCATCAACTGGCATCGAGGGGTGGCGGGCGGGCGGGGAATTGATAGCAAGGATAGCACGAGGCAGGAGCAGTACCTGTATTTGATGGGAAATATTAAGCAAAGGGCAAGGAAGGGAAATTGGCTGATGGGGCCCACAAACTCATTTAGACAAGTGAAGTTAGAAATTGAACCTGTATTGGGAACTCTGAGGAGACTGCAATTGAAGGCTTTGAGCTTGACTCGGAGGGGTGATACTAATGTAAAATGGGCCTCGCGTACTTCTTTCCAAAGGTCTTAGACAACCTCCTCGACCTCCTCTCGCATCTATCAGACCAGCCTTCGTACATCACTCCAGCAGATATGAACTTTTGTACGTCAGCATAGTCGACTTGTGCAATCAATATTGGCAGCAAGACCGTCACCCTTGGCCACTATAACACCACCAATAAGCCCGGTGTCCCATATGCCACCTCTGATTAGAAGAGCTGGGTCTATGTATCCAAGTACTGGCTGGCAGCACTGTTTTGCTATCATTGGCCTGTGGGAAGCACGGCAATACACCCATCGGACCAAGCTGAGTGAGGTTTTCCATCACGCAGTACGCGGTGGGTGGCCTTTGGACGTGAGCTTGTAACAGAGTTAAGTCAGGCAGCAGCAGGAGCTCAAGGCCTGAGCCGGGTGCCGAGTTTGATTGTCAGTTAAACCTGCTGTCAATGAAGGACACAGTTGTAGGAGATTGTGATAGACTGTATGAGAGGGAGAGAAGTAGACGGGATAGAAGTAGACGGGAGAGCCGTAAACCAAAACGCAAAATGTAAACATTGTATAATAGTTTTTCAATCATAATTCTGCAAAAATGAGAAAGGTTAAGCACCTGTCCTTGACAGAGGGCCGGCATCGGGCGAGTGTGACAATCCACAAGCGTACATCACTTGTTTGTTGAACAACATTCAATCTGTCAGTCATAGCAAATAATACAGCACACAGTTCTGTTAAATGGCTCCCCCTTCCTACAAAACCGAGTGACCAGGAGTTTGTCCATCTCTGCCGCTGCCGCTGTCTGCACCATGTTGGTCACAGCCCCCCTCCTTGCCCAACTCTGCATCTACAATCCCACCTGCATCTACAGCGCTGATCTTCCATGCCAGGCTTGCTGCCTCTGAGCCTACCGAGGCAATGGAGACCTCCACAGCTGGTGGTGCTGCTGCCCCTACCATCACCAGCATCCCTGTTGTTTTTAGAGCTGTCTCTAATGTCACTACCACGGCTGCTGCTGCAGCAATTATTGAGAGGCCTGCTGCCGCCAAAGCTGAACGAATCCAGGCCAACCTCCTCACAGACAAGGTCAACCAGGAGCTTAGAGCACTTTGCAAGGACAAACAGACGAGCCTGACAAAGGATGTTAAAATCTTTGAAGCGACCTTCAACAGCACCATCATTGATATGTGCAAGACTCACGGGAAGTACGAGTGTCTTCTTTGTTGTCGGCTTCAGTGCTCAGCTTATGCTTTGTACTAGGGTCAAAAAAGTACATCAAGGGCTGTCTTCATCGGAGCCTCCAATATGTGGGCAAGAGCTGTAACCCCTTTGCATAGAATGGCTTCACAGCCACTAGACTTATGCAGTTTAATGAAGGTGAGCTTTGTCAAAATCTTATGCAGAGACGTACTAACAAGCATTGCAGCTCAAACTGACAAGAAGAAGAGGCTTTGAATTGGCACCTATGTCAAGGAGAATCACACCAAACTCATCTTGTTTTACGGCAAGCTGACCACCAAAAAGAAGATGGACATTGTGAATGCGATGACATGTCATCACAAAGAGGCTCCTCATGTGTCTCGAAGGACTAAGAAGGGTGTGGTTAAGGACTTAGCACAGCCATTGTCCAAAGTGACCAAGGAGGTCAGCACCTTTCATTAACTGCCTCTTCAATGTCAAAATCTTGATGTTGTATAGATCGAAGGCATATCTATTTGCACAGACTTGGTGTCACTCTGCTTCTTTGTGAAGACCAAGGTCGGACACTTACAGAAGCCCATTATAGTAGTGATGGCTGGTGTTCGTGATTTCTTGCAAGACGGATACAAGACATTGCCGGAAGAGATGTGCATGAAGCTCGAAGCAAAGATGCTTAATGGCAACAGAGGTTCATTCTAAGATTACATCGTGCAGCATAAGCTGACTACTAAACAATATCAAAACCTAAGGGACAAAGGGCCATGAATGATGAGATTCATGACACACAACAATTGATTGTAGATGACTTAAGTGTATACCTTTTGCTAACTACATGAACCAGCAAACTGACTCCTCATAGACAACTGCCTCATAATCAATGGCAAGCTCAACACTTGCCAGTCCGTGGGCATGAACTACAACAATATCATCGAGAAGATCTACAAGAGGTATAATGTCAAATGGGTAGGCTGGCCGGAAGACATCCCCCTTACCGATCCAGGTATTATCGAGCCACACGCGAAGCCTCAGCAAGTGCTAGCAGCTCTCGAGAGCAAGACCTGTCGCTGGGAGGTTGTCAAGCCTGCGATAGCACCGAGACTCTAACTATCAGAGAGCAGTTGGCAATGAAGAAGGTGTCTAAGGCTCATAAGCAAAAGCAGACGGATGGCAAGGCTAGTGGTGAGAAGCAACCCAAGTGCAAGCGTGCAATGAAGGCCAAGCACGCGACGAAGGCTAAGGCCAAGGCTGCAACCAAAGATACTGCTATCACAAGCCAGTGATCTATCTCATCTTGATGTATAGTCTTGCTCCCATGCACCTTTTCTCTCTGCATTCGGCTACTGCTTGATGATGTATACCACTATATTCTACATAACTTGGGTTTATTGAACCACTGAGTTGACCAGAGTGCAGTACAGGCGAGGAAATCATCGATTGACTTGCGTAATTTCGCCTGTACATCCAGTTCAGTCTTCGCATGAAAGATCGTATGTGGGGTGACAGACCAGGTATACATCGAGGTTGCCGTTGATGGCGGGCCGAAAGACGAGAGTGCACAAGTCACTGAGGGAGACCCAGGCGGCGAATATCTCATCGGGCACCAGACTGTGCAAAACGGCAGGAGCAATCTGTACGATAGCGCGGAAATTACCGCCCGTCAAAGAGCCGGCGAACTGGATAAGAGTGCTTCCGCAAAGTGCGGAGAGACCAAGATTGGTCACGTCCAAGCTCGTTAAGCGTTGTTTCAGCTCCTCCTTCCCTTCCGCCGATTGCCGCGAGACCGTGTCGCACCAAAAGTACTTCACAAAGCCCAGCAGGACTGTATAGAGTACTTTGACTGGTGTGCTGGCGTTGGGATCAAGACCTGCAAGTACATGAGCCAACAGTCAAGATACGCGAGTTGCAGGCACGAACCAGTCCAGGATTGAAGAGGTCATCTGGCATGGTCTTACGTAGCTCAGCCAGTATCTCTTTCGCCTTGTCTTTGCCATTATTGCCCATGCCATACTTCTTCTTGATGTTGGCACAGGTCTCAGACAGATGGGTAAGAAAGTAATCAAAATATTTGTCTTTCACGCCCGAATTTGTCTGCGCGGACTCGGCCGTGCTGGGCGCGGCGCAAAGTGCGTGACCGAGCTGCTCCTCGAGTGCTCTCAGTGTACCGTCGAGAGTGCGGGGCTCCTGACACTGCGAAGCCACATCAGCGGATAAACATCTCATCTGGAGCTAGATTACACAAACCTGTATGAAGTTGCTGACATGTTCTTCTTCAGTGCGGCCACCATTCTTGTCCACATTGCATACACGGCAGCAGAACCGGCCTGATAACCCGATATGCGACGATAGCTTGCTCTGCATCGGGTTATTGCCAAGTAGGGCAAGTATCCAGGGTACAATAAGAACAAACTCCTGAGGAACGCAGTCCCAAGCCTCCCACCCTTCTTTGCGCAGCTCCCTGTACAAACTAGTCAGCATCAAAGTATACATCAAAGACGAGCTCCTGTACCTCATAGCCCTCACGATCTCTTCGAGCATCTCCAGCAGAGGCGCGTTATTCAATGTTGCAACGAAATGAATGTTGTACATCAGTTGCGCGTACTTCGCGGGAAGCCCGGCCAGTGTGAAGAGGAACAAGTTGTATTTGTTCCAGTGCTTGGAGACGTTACCGGACGTATCGTCGCAGTAAAACCAGAGCGGCATGGAATATACACGCCTCCCGGTGGCCTTCGCGCGCCATGGGTCACGCACGGGCTCTGACCAATCACTGACGTATTCGTCGCCACGCACGACACCTAGCAAGTGTCAGTCAGGTGCATACAGCGAAATGACAGTGCAGGATTTACCAATGATGTTCCTCGGAGATGGCAAGTTGTAGTCGAGTGAATGGCGTAAGTCGAAGCTGGGGAACGATTCGACAAACGTGTTAAGCTGAAGTGCCGTGCACTCTGAGCAGTCGACGTAAAAGCCATTCTGCTCATAGTTTGGGAGCAGCTTGTGAGTCTTTGCCCACAATTTCCCCCCACAAAGGACCCAGCGCGTTACCATGACAGGTAAATATCCGCCATCCTCGTCAGATGCGACAAGAGCGGGTTTATATACAAAGAAATCTTGCGCATTGCCGCCCTCGGGCTCAGAACGGGCCATCGGGCCACTCAGATCGGTGTCGCAGAGCTCCCGCCACTGCCGTCCCTGCGACACATCCTCATACGGAGCGTCTTGCGCGATCTCTTCCAAGTAGAACTTGAGTTTGCTACGTACGAGAGGGTTGCTCATCTCCTGTATTGGTATTGAGCTGTAGCTGTTTGTTTCGTAATGTAGAACGCAGCAAAGCGCTCTTAGAGCGGTGTTTTTAACCACAGCAAATCTACATCTTGTAGTGCACACCTCTTTTGGTGTCTTGTCATTGTAGATTGTGCTGCATTGTGTAGCTCGTAATTGTAGATTGTGCTACATCTTGCGGCCCATCATTGTAGATGCTAGGGGCTCACTAGGGCGGATACCTCCGGGTCACGCAGTAGAGACGAGTTCAAGACAAGGAAGAAAGGAGAACGTCTATGTGGGTAGCAAGATGGACGAACTAGAGAAATACAGATACATGGGGGGCAGTCTTATATAGTGGTCCGAATCGTGCACAGCCTTGGTGAGAATATGCTTAGTGAGCCACCCGGCCTCCGCTGACTGAGT